TCTGGGGGAATACCTTCTTTGTCCTGGATCTTTGCTTTCACATTATCGATGGTATCAGAACTTTCCACCTCCAGGGTAATGGTTTTTCCAGTAAGGGTCTTCACAAAAATTTGCATGCCACCACGAAGACGAAGCACCAAGTGAAGGGTTGACTCCTTTTGGATATTGTAGTCAGCAAGGGTCCTTCCATCCTCTAGCTGTTTACCAGCGAAGATCAACCTCTGCTGGTCTGGGGGAATACCCTCTTTGTCTTGAATCTTGGCTTTGACATTGTCAATGGTATCAGAACTTTCAACCTCTAGAGTGATGGTTTTCCCAGTAAGAGTTTTCACAAAGATTTGCATGCCACCACGAAGGCGAAGAACCAAGTGGAGAGTTGACTCCTTTTGGATGTTATAGTCTGCAAGAGTCCTGCCATCCTCGAGCTGTTTGCCAGCAAAGATCAACCTCTGTTGATCGGGGGGAATACCCTCCTTGTCCTGGATCTTGGCTTTGACATTGTCAATGGTGTCCGAGCTTTCCACCTCAAGGGTGATTGTTTTGCCAGTAAGGGTTTTCACAAAGATTTGCATCTGTATTGAATTAGAAAAAATACAAAACCAACTCAGAACATCATAACGGCATAACCACAAACCAAGCGTTAGGTCTCTAAGTACCATAGTAACAATACAAAGACGAAGGTTAAACAAAGAGAATATCTTAGAGCTCAGGTAATCCAAAAATGATATGCAAAAAAATAAAATAAAAAGAAAATAAAAAGGGGGGGGGGTTCAGACAGCTTAAAACAATACATAAAGTAGGTTTGGAATAGGATTCTACACATAATTTACAATAATTAAATTAAATTTAAAAAATTAACTATAATTATATATGAATCAAATTAGATACAAACTTTTGACATGGATCAACCACGAACCTCTCTAAGAAACAAAAAGACCTAAAAAAGATTGAAATTTAACACAGTAAATAGCCTCAATCAAAACTTTACATATAACGGATCTCAATCGATCAATCAAGAATCAATATTTAAAACGAAGTCTAGACGATTTGATAATAAAAAGATTCTACAGAATGAGCAAAACCCTAAATCTAACTCAAATTTACTCTAATAATTACTACTGTTTATCAACAAAATTCAAAAAAACAGAAATCAAATCCTCAGCAGAAGATCAGACGATCTAAATCGAAAGAAAGAAATATATCAGAAGCTCTTACCTTGAGAGAGTATTTCAAGAGTTCTGCAGAAACACAAAATATCGAGCGATGAAGATGGTAACGAAGCTCCTGGATTTATAGGCCGGAATGAGATTTTAAATGACGACTATGCCCTTAGAGTTAACCAATTGAGGTGTGC